ACCTAATTTGGTATATGTTGAGCTATCAAAACGGCCGCGAGCGCATCATAGAGGGCCCAATATACTCCAATGTAGCATTGACGCGCGCGCAGGCTGGGCACAGCGACGCTACGTTAACCAAACGCGAGCACTCTATAGCCTGACACCAGGCACGACCAGCGTCCGTCGGCGCGGCCCGACGGCAACCGGCGCGAAATGCGACATGCTGCATTTCATGCCGATGCGTTACGCAGACAACACTGCGTCTCCCTCTTTTCGTGACGGACGGACGCCGGACGCGCTGAAACGCGCATGCGTCAAAGCAACGCAGCGCGGCGCACGCTTGCGAGTATACGGCAGGACCGGCGCATACGTGGCAACGCCGGCGTGACGCGACGAAATGAACGCGGGCGAGCGCGTGCACTACATCACGCCGAAATGTATTGGCGCCTTGACTGTGGCATGCAGTCACGTTTTCGCATGACACACATCTCATGATTAGAATGTTTGCACCAGTCACATACGTTCGTCACGTATTCCCGTATTGTTAAATCAAAGTTGGTATATGTGACGCCAGGGAAACGGCTGCGAGTGCATCATGAGCGTGGCATGCAGTCATGTTGTTACATGATACGCATGTCATAACTTTCCTGTTAGGGTCTGTCGCTTGTGTTCGACATGCAATCATGCCATACCATACCAGTTTTGCAACATGCCATGTGAACAAAACCACCGCAAGAGCTGCAGGACCATCAAATGTAAATTATGACATTCATGACATACATATCATGATTTTAATGTTATGAGTAGTCAAATATGTTCTTCATACAGTCATGTTATGGCATACCAAGTTTAGCATTAATACCATTATCGAAACGGCCAGGAGAGCTAAAGGTCGTCAGCAGCTATATAGATGAATAGATAGATACGCTCAAAGTCACCGAAGTTCGCTAAGAAATGCTTCGCATTTAAAGCACCAATGACACAATGAAATTTGAACCCGGGTCCACTGCGTGCGAGCCCAGTCAGTATTCTACCACTGAGCCACACCGTTGCTTAGGACTCGTTCACAAACTAGCCTTAGGCAGGCTTAATGTATGTAAAGGAATCGGGTATATATATATATATATATATATATATATATATATATATATATATATATATATATATATATATATATATATATATATATATATATATATATATATATATATATATATATATATACATATATATATATATATATTTATATATATATATATATTATGACCAATAAAGCGTTCTATAACTTCAAAGGAACAACCAGCCATCACACAATGCCACTTGCGTTACGAGTGGGTCATTTAGTGGTCTTACCAATTACGAAACTAGCAGTTCACTGAATCATCCACCGTACATCACGCCCCCTCCGCACATACCCCATCGCACTGGTCATCCGTTACAAGTCGCAATACCAGATACCCGGACCACTCCGTTCTAATCATGCTTTTTCGTAAAAGCAGCAAAAGACTGGAATGGCCTTCCTCACGCCATCTGTGCCATCACTAACTCATCTATGTTTGCAGAAGCCATTAGAAACGCCGTTGTATAGTTCTCTTTTTTTGTTATACACCACCCCTTAGGTAATACCCCTAAAGGAGGTTTTTAAGGAAATAAAAAGTGAAGTGAAGTGAAATGAACACTTGTTCTTGATTAGTTAATAACTGTGGCGCATACCCACTTCAGGCATAATTCCTTATCGTCGTCAGATTGTGCATAAACAAATTGTACAAACTTTTTAACAAGCATTTAGCGGATACCACGCTTATACAAAGAAAGACGTAAAATAGCATAGTGGTTGCTGGCCTACTACACAAAAATATATATATTTATGGCGTAGTGAGCACTCAGATGTGTGGTTTTCGCAGTTACTCAAAGATTGTTAAAAAGGCTCTGAAGGGCAACTCTTCTAGCATCCGCTGTGGCTGTGCTACGTGTTCCGTGCTGGCCTGGCAATTTTCTTTTTTAAATATATAGTCCTCAGTATCAAGGAAGTCATTAGCGCAGTGAAAGTTGCATCTAAATTTGAACTTAACCTAAAAAGCAGGGTCCTAACAAGAAAACTCTATGTACACCGGAATATTTTGTAAGACAAATTATCAGACAGTCGTGACGCTATAGGTGTTTCTTTTGCGAAACCTGCGCGGCTAACAGCAGCGTTCAATTACAAACGTGGTTATTCTTAGGGGTGGACTCGAAAGAATGATCCATGAGATCGGTCAGCGAGAATGCTTGCTCATCTATATAAACTGAATTGATAAGGCAACATAACAATAGAGTGGAGCACACGACAATTTGTCGATGACAGAAGCCTTACTACATTTTCAGTTGCTGAGATGCTGCATCATTAAAGAGTACAGTGGCTTTGCCGCCACTTCATTTCCTTCAGTGTTTTAGCATGCCTATTAGGTTGTCCCTGTAAGCGATGGCCAGCATGGATAAGGGCTGTGGCAGAAGATCCGGAACCTTCTTGTGACCTCAGGCGAGTGTGTAATACTAAAGTGCAAGAGTGACCGATTGACCAATAAATATTCTAAGTTCGCCAAATCAAGTACACAGATAATTTGAAAACGAGTGTTAGGAGATCCAGAAGTTTATTCTTAATTTATTTATCGTCAATTTTTGAGCACATTTATGTTGATATTGGGCTCAGGGATCCTATATAGTGGTCATTTTGTTAACAAAGCTAATTACTTCTAGTTCTTTTGCACGTGCAATATGTCCAGAAATGTTTACTTAAGAAATATGTGCCTGGAATGCCTTAATGAGGAAGTTTGTTATTTGATTATGCATTTCACTTACAGCGCAATTCATGCCCGCTACCTCGATTGATCAAAATCAAATGCTATAATGGCACCAACGTTTCCGGGACAATTTTTCTTGTGTCTCTGTATTTCGTTGACACATACATGACGTGAATTCCAATAGATGAGTGATAAAATATGACTGCAACGTTTTCTAGGACGTGTCCCTGCTGTCCCACTAGAAGGCCAGCAGTGGAATTGGCCATACTGTAGTTAACGACGATTGTACATAAACGCAGAAAAAAATAATTATAACTAAGGTTCCCACACAAAATGACACTTATTCTATTGAATCAAAGTAAACTTTGATGGCATGTACAATAAAAAATTATTAAAAATGTACACGAAGAATGCATCCTACCATTGATCCCATTAACACCGTGATATCGCGGATGCTTCAGTTCTGCTTTCTTGTTGTTGTTGTTGTTGTTGTTGTTGTTGTTGTTGTTCATCTGTCAGAATGCATTGAAAAGTTGTACATAGCTGACAGGCTCCATCAGCACGAATGTTTGATGCTACGAGTTACGCCCTGATTACGAGCTGGCAACGAAGCGGAAGATTCTGAGAAGCATTTTGCAGGGAGAATAAAAGCAGTGACATGTTGTCCGTGCTGTGTTGTAGGCCCGTGTGCTCAGATTTGGGTGCACGTTAAAGAACCCCAGATGGTCGAAATTTCCGGATCCCTCCACTACGGCGTCTCTCATAATAATATGGTGGTTTTGGGACGTTAAACCCCACATATTAATTATGTTGTCCTTGTTACACGTCCAAGCGCTATAGTTCGCACTAACTTTGAAAAATAAGCCAGAACTGGCACAGTCTTACAGCGATTCTCTATTATATAGTCTCCAGAAACGAATATTAAACTTTAAACTTTTTTCAAAAAATTTTGGGCAGGTACACGCGTGAGCTAAAGTATACGAAACACAGCACTGCTTGCCGACATCATCTTCGGCGACATAAAGTGGTAAGCCGTTTGCTCTCTAGAGCACTGATTTCACCGAATCACTTCAAAGAACTTGAAAATTTGCCAGAGAAATTGCTCGAGAAATTTGACTAGACGGCACCAGCGACAAAAGCATTTGAGTGAAAACGGCACGCTTAGTTTTCCTTTTGGTTGTATGTGAAGAATAAGAGTGCACCAGCCCGTATTCTTTCGTGTCAGACGAATATCCACAGTAAGCACCATTTTTTGCACGTCTTGTATTTCCACGACTTGTCGTCATACCTGACAACACCTTTACAGCGGTTGTGAAAATTTTCTCTCGTGAAGCTTGGCTGTTGCGTAAACAGTATTGCTTCTCTGCTTCACACCTTTGCTCCTGCAAGCTTACTGCATGCGCGTTGCACCTGCATTTAGTCGTGTGTATTTTAGTGGTGCAAGACAGATCGCGAAAATTGGAGACAACGGGATAAAAGGATTCTCCACTGCCCTCAAAAGTCGACCCCTTCCATATTTACCTCCGGGCGGTTAGGAATGCTGCCTTGAGTCCTGACTTCAGTAACGACTCAAATTTCTCGTCAGCCGTGACTGCCTAGAGTAACGTGCCCGGCAGTCTCTTTCGCCATTGCATTACGAAATGAAAACACGTGTGATGACTCAGCACTGAAGGAGGATAAAGGGAAAGATGTCGGATGCGGGAGGCAGGCTTAGCCTTGTAAGGATGAGTGGTGACTGTGCCGCCGGAGCTACTCATTATTCAAAACCTTAACTTCGACGATTGAATGCCATGCACAGGAAGGAAGAATAGTGAACAAGACGGCGTGAAGTAAGCCACACCGGGACACGCCTGCCCAGTCTCCGACACAATGTGTAAGGTTATTGAAAAACCAATATAAATCCCAGGCAGTGTTAACACTGCTTCAAAAAGCTTTAGAAGCTGTCAAGTCACGTCTATTTCATGCGTTTGAATACGCATTGTAGTCGCGGCAGCACCCTGTCAACTATAGATACAACTCATATTTATGTTATGACGTTGTTCATAACGGTGCTATCTTTGGCGCCATTGTCATCTTTGTCGTCATTGTTTTTGTTATTGTAGTTGTGGCTCGTGTTCGTAAGCTTGCACTAAATCATACTTTTTTCTCGGACAGAGCAAGACTTCATTACAAACCACATAGCATACAAGAACCAACTTGAAGCATGCCTCGACGAAATTCGTAAAGGGAGCAGCTCACCTTAGATGGCAATATGGAGTGAAGCAGCTCCTCGGTTCGTTTCTTGTCCTCATCTAGTTTAGACTGCAGCATCTTCAGTCTATTTGTGGCCTCGTCCAACTTTTCGATCAGCTCACGCTCTCCCTCGATGGTGATGAGAGCGCAGGAATAACTCCCTGGCCGGGTCATGTATGGCCATGTCGCTGAAGAACATCCCGATGCACCGCATGTCGTCGATGTTCTTGACACGCGGTGAACACAAGAACATGATGCTGTCCGTCTCTTCAACCGACACCATCTGGCCCTTGAGCCGAAGCACCTTTGGGCTCGAGTTTTCCGTGTCTTCGTCATTCTCGGGGCATTTGGATGAGTGTGACTTCAGCACTCCTTCTTTTGTTTGCACAACGAAGACCTGCACAGAAGTTTAAATTGGTTTAACGTTTGGCTAATTGCTGAACAAGCGCCTATGCAAACTCCTAATATTTATAGTAATTATTCACGTATATAGTGACAAGGTTTATAATGTATCATGCAGGCTAGTTCTTGACACACTTAGTCTACGTCCCGTTTTGCTTTTGCTCTTTTTTACAGAAGTCTATTTTTACGGCGTTTAAAAACGGCATTCTCTGAAGGACTCTGTGAAACACTTGAAAAATCTGTGCTTATGAAATGGCAAGTTTGAGAAGATAGTCAGCGATTCTAAAGTCTCATTTAGATTTTGTCATAACGAATAGAGGAGCAAGTAAACTGTAATGATTTCTCCTTGGTGCGCTTACTTTTTATAATCAATCAGTAATTTACGGTGAGCTTTATCCTTATTATCACCACGGTCATCTATTCGTTCAAGTACTTTCAATGTTTCACAGCGCAAGCAAAGAAGCTGGCATCGACAGACACGCACAGCTTCACATTGTCTTCCAATGTGGTCCTCATTTCTCGCGCGGTGAAACTTCCAAGTAGGTTGCATCAACTCCCTCGACACTCAATCCTGGTGTTGTTCATTCCGCCTATCAGCCTTGATTGTTGCTTGCGAGTTGTTAGCTCGTGGTTGAAGCTATAAAATCTGCATTTTCTTCAGCGACACAACTTTGTTGTGTTACGTATAATTGCGCACACAACTCGCAAACTTCGAGAAATTCTTCACGGAGAAGAGTGCGACAATTGAGGTTGGGAGTTTTCGACAAAATGTATTCTAAACACTTGTTCCAGATTCCACCCACGTCGTCATCTATACTTGTCTCATTATATCGCACGCACAAAACATTAATGTAATGACGATCGACTTGGTACCATGGCCCACAGGTACTGCAGAGCAAGAAAGCAAAACCAGTCGTCTTGCCTTCACCGAAGCAGAGCAGGTTTTTTCTATCAGCTCCATATTGTGTATGAGCAGTTGGGGTGTAATGAGCACCGCTATTCATTTCCTCTCTTTTTTATTTTTTGCGGCATTGAACGTGACTTCTATTCCTACAGAAGCAAAAGAAACGTGAGTCTTTCCAACGTTCCACACAATATTGTGGTTTTATTTCTCTCTTTTTTCTAGAGATCCTGGCTTGTTTTGTGCGCAGTATTGCGCCAATCTGGCTCCTCCCTGGTTTTTATTCTTAAGCGTGACCAGTGCCTTGAGATATAGAAGCGTACCGTTCTTGCGTCTCTCCGGCTTTTGTAAGCAACAAAAAAGTTTCAATACGTTTGAGCTTGCTACCAATTCCTCCAACATGTAGTTTTCCTATACAGCAAAGTTTTCAATGTCTGGCCCTGAAGCACTGAGTGAGCATGAATCAGTGCCTGGGTGCACCAAAAAAAAGCAAGACACCGAGTCACCACGGTGTGCGGGCCCTTCAAGGCTAGAATAACTAAACGATAAGAACAAAAACGAATTCTTCTAGTGGCTCGTGCCGCTGGCGGTAAGTTATCACGCTCAAGTAGTCCTTGCCTTCGTTGTGCCCCGTTCTGTGCCCGCTTCTCTACACTCCTCAAGAGCCAAATACCTCGCTGGTTGGGCAAACCTACTATAAAACTGAGGGCCGCAAAAGAACGCGGAGAGCAGGGACGTCCAATAAGATACCTAGCAAAAAAAAGACACACAAAAGCTTGCTTTTTTCTAGAATTAGATAAAAAACATCGTAGTTTTTTTTTTTGTAGAAATGAGCCCTCGTTCCTGAGACGCGACTAAGCCTAGCGTGCATTGTCAGGAAATCGGTCCTACACAGCCGAAGGGTTTTTTCTTGCCTCGCTCGATGTTGCCCCGAAGATACACACACTGAGAAGAGTGAAAGAGAACATATATCGAAAGCGCTACAATCCGGAAAGTCGATTCGGGGCTATCTGCGGGAGAAATTCCGGAGAACAAGCGGAGGCGTAATGACCGCGCGGCCAGGAGGTCCATTATTTCTTTTACGAAGGTGTACTTCTAGTTTTATGCCTCGTTTTTTTTTTATTGTTAAAGTCCGATCAATACACTGAACCGGCTACTACAAAACAGCAAAGCGAGTATGGACCCGCATGGAAAGATTGAACGTACCTAAGGAAAGGTCTAGACACAAACCGAAGCTTGAGACAAGATAAGACCTTGCAGTAAGCCCAGTGCATTGTTGCTCTGAGAACGCACCACCGGAGAAAAAAGAATAGTATAGAGGTGAGAAAAACAGTGTAATTCCAGCATATTAACTGTCTGAGGTTTCCGGCAACCACGCTGCGAAGATCCGGCTAGGGTTTTACGGGCAGCGCTGTGGTGAGTTTGGACAAGCGGTCGATAAGGATCAGGCCAGACACAAAGCAACCACAAGGAGGCAAACAGAGGTTGGCAACGGAGACATTAGCTTACTATCGGAGCAACGCAGTGCACACGGCTCCACACACAGTTAAACGGAAAGAGAGGTCTAATTAGCAGGCGGTGATAGCCCGCAGAGCCGGCTAGGTACGACCGAATTGCTTGGCGGTTGCACAGTGACTTGGGCGTCGTTTCCACGTAAATGAGGGTGTGCTACAAAGCGTCGTTTTTCGTAAAGTAGCGCATGTATAGAAAAATGGAGAATGAATGCAGTCATTGCGCGAACAGGTAGAACCAGAAAGCGGCAAGCAGATGATCAGTGTCATCTGTCGCCTAAACCATAACAAAATCAACCAGCGTGTTCATGTGGCAGTATTTGCACAGAAAACAAACCGCTACCACCCAGCACCATTTGGCGTGCATAAGCGCTACTGACTGCAGCGGGCAGCCTCGTTAAATTAAAATTAATTTAGTAACTGAAATGGTTAAATCTTTCAACGTGATTTCATTACAGCGTAGGTCCGAAGCATAGGCATCTGTGAAAAAATTGGCAAGACATCTCTGAATTGTCGCTTATTTCTTCTTGGCTTTGATTACATTCAGGTTTGCCTGTATTACGAAAGCGTGACTACTTGCTACGATAGCAATTATGGAAATTTAGAAGTTCTGTCTTAGTTACTCTTACACTTTGTGAATGTAACCAAACTTTGTTGATTGACACTTTGCCATCTACTCGACGCAGTTGTGGCTCTTGGAAGATATTACTGTTGGTATTGAAAAAAAAAACAATGCTGAATTTGGCTGTCACATGGTTCCAGCACTTTTTTTATTGTCGTTCTTTGTATTTTGCTGAAACACCCTCAAGTGACGACAAAAGCATATGCAAACCTGAATGTTGTCGAGGAAAGCGTGCCGTATCTATTGCAGGCATTTTCGCTGTGAGTATGAGGCAATTTTAGAATAGGTTACGCAATGCTTTACGTTAGCCGTTGTAGTGCTAACCTCTTAGTTAAACACATGCAGTTTCGAACCCAACGTGCCCGACAAACGCTATTCTTACGTACACTATGCTATAACTGCCTAATAGTGTAGACCGAGTAGCGAGAGCTCTATAGGTGCAAAAAGTCAACTTTGTATTTTCATTACATGGTTTTCTGCCGTCCTGCTGTTCGAAGAACTAAATTTTTCAGAAGACGAATGAGCTTCTTGTCTTGTCTTGATACCAGCCTTATTGAGCGCTCTTACTTGGTGCTTGTTTATCTCTACGAGCGGTGCGTATAGATACAAATAAACAACATTAAATTGCCTACTGTGTTTTTCCCTACTTCGCTCGCATGAATTTTAAATAAAAGTGTAACATTATGCACTAGACTATGTATATGTTCCTTGAAGCTCATCCTGCTTATTATAAATAAATTTCACCCCAGATGATTATTCGACTTTGGCTTCTGTTTGCGCAACGTTTGGCTTCTGTTTGGCTATTCGTTTGGCTATTTGGTATTCGTCTGGCTATTCGACTTTGGCTTCTGTTTGCACAACTTTCTGTTTGCGCAAAGAATGCTCGACGTTTCGATGATAAAATGCATTTGAAGTTCCACTTCAAACTCAAGGCCGCTGCCATATTTCATACAGAAACGTCGGCACAACAGGGACGCAAAGTCTATGAACGTACACATGTGCCAGCACTGACCTGATTACAATAACTGCGTATGGACTCGAAAGTGCACTCGATAACGGGTCTCGTGATGTCGAAGATGTCGTCGAACTTGAGGTGGCGACCCTGTGCCTTGCTCTCCTTCCAGCGGTGTCCGACGAGGCGCAGCAGTCCTTTGCCCGCCTGCCTGATGCCGAAGTCTCGGCCGAACAGCACGTGGAACGGGAACGCTGCGCACATCGTCTTCACGCCAATCGGCAGATCGTCTGGACGACTGCTGAGAATGTCAGCTGCGTTGCTGTCGAGCAGAGGGACAAAAATATCTTACGAGAAGCGTATGATGGGGGTGATAGTTGTTAAGACATTTAGGAAAATTAAAACTGCACTAAAAACGAGACACGGGAACCAAGTGGGCAGCACAATGGAAGTGGACAGGACTGCGATCGTCCTGCCCACTTCATTCCCGTGTCTCGTTTCAAGCGCAGTTCTAATTTTTCTAAAACCATCTTACGATTTTCAGACTGAACCATGTGAGGATCTATCAGGCTCGGTGGAACAGTGGCTAGAACTCTTGGCTGCTGACTTAAAGGTCATGGTTTGATCCAGGTCGCGGCACTCACAAGTTCAATGGAGGTGCAATGGTAGAGGACCCTTTACGGTGCGATTCAGTGCACGTTAAATAAGACAATAGAGAGTTTTAGTACTGCGTACGTTGCGTACGTGGCGGCGTTGCGTACGTAACGACGCCACGTTCTGCGTAGTGCGCATGCGCAGACCGCAACGCGCACGTATCGCATTACGTACGCAGCCGCTACGTACGCACGCATGAGATGCGTGCGTGCGTACGTATCAGGTGATCGCGCCGCTCTCGAACAAGTTCGCGACAGCGCGAGACTTCGTTTTGCAAAATGGCGGCATCGAAGGCTAGCACCGACCGGCTCTGTGGCTCAAAATATGGCCATAATCGGCTATAACACTTGGATTGGCTCACATTGGCTGTCAACAACACATGCTTCTATTTTGATCTACCAGATGGCGCAACACGCTTCACGCTGGTTATGTTTGCGGGTACTACGGCGTACTAAAAGCCGATTAGTGGCAAACGACGCCACGTAACGCAAGGCGCTTGCGTGATGCGTACGTAGCACCATTCCGCAGTACTAAAACTCTCTAATGTGGTCACGGTTTCTGGAGCCCTTCACTATACGGTGTTTCTTCTAATCATGTCATAGTTTTTGGACGTGAAAATTCAATATAATAATAATAATAATAATAATAATAATAATAATAATAATAATAATAATAATAATAATAATAATAATAATAATAATAATAATAATAATAATAATAATAATAATAATAATTTAATATATATTATGGACCAATAACACGTGTGGTTTTGCGTGCTATAACCACGATGTCAATATGAGGCTCGTTGGAGTGGAGGACTCCGGAAATCTTAACTATCTGGTGACCAGTAACCAGCACTGTTGTCACGCAGTACACGGGCCTCCAGCATGCTGCCTCCGTCTAAACGCTACCGCCACGTTCGGTATCAAACCCGCCACCTTCCCTTCAGCAGTCTATCACCGTAACCTTGAACCTGACCACCACGACGGACAACTTTAGGACCTCGTCGCAATGAATATATGTAAGAGACACATCTCTCTGCTAGCTGCTTCTCGTAGGAAAAGGCGTAATTTAGGCGTCTAATTAGCAACAAAAATTAGATTGTAAAAGTACTGGTTAAAAAGTGCATAGTTCGCACTTTGCTTTTTCACAGTCTGGAAACAGGATCGATGTTTATTATAGTGTATCGGTTAATATTATCTGGATCAATACAGTTTTATTTATTTCTGCGTATGCTGCATGCAGCCTACCTTATACATTTTTATGTACAGCCTACCAAACGGAAGTCAGCGTTTTCTTGCTCTGATTTGATTGATAGACTTGTGATCTTGAATTCGTGTTGCTTGAGTACTCTTGAAGCGTAGTATTATCACTTAATTTAAAAGGTGCATATCTACTTCAGAATTTCAACATTGGACTAACTGCAAGACAACAATCTTTACTGACAATTAAAAACCGTTTTTTGTAATAAAACATCTACGAGTATCCATGCATGCTAAGTAGCCTGCATTTGTTTATGCTCTCTTGTGAGAGAAAAATTTTTTGTGCTCACCTGGCGTTTCTCGAATGGTAACCTAAAATAACGCATGTGACAATGTATATTATTAAATTTGTGCACGCGATGATAACAATAGCTGTAAGACTGCAACTGTACTAACTGCCGAAGAAACAATAAATTTGTTGAGATTTCATGCAATGCAGCAAATATTTTAAGTTACTCTTACTTATAGTCAAAAAGACTGAAACAAACCAATACCTTGTTATGCACGCCTGATCGAAATTGAGAGAACTGACACTTCCAAATAAATAAACCTTATTTTACAGTAAGAACGAACTTCTCGTAATTCAGCAACCTCTCATTTACACGCATTCCCATCGAACAGTGCTGACATGCCTTGAAACCATATTTTTTGTGAAGTAGCGTCGTTACACGTCTCTCTTCCGGCAAATATACAAGGAAGCGCTGCAACACGGGACAATGACGTAGACAAGAGAACATCTAGAAGCTGTACTAGGGAGGTTTATACTTATTCCTTCGTCTACGTCTTTGCAGCGAGTTGCACCACTTTCCCATAGTTTAATATGCACCAACTATGCAAGCAACAAGTTATATCAGGCCATCTCTGTTGCGGTACCTGGGGAGCAAGGAGCTCTTCCCTTCCTTCTTCGTCTCGGTCACTTCCAAGGTCACGTGGGCCCTGTCTCCGAATTCCGACACAACAGAAATATCGGCGCGCACCTCTGTGTTGAAAAACTCCTTGCCGACCACCTTGACGATGCCGAGCACTATTGGATGCAGCCCTGCAGAGAGCACAGGCGCAGATCAGATAAAATAAATGAATATATAGCAAAGGTAATCACTGGTCACTAATAATAACAAGGCAAATTTCAAGACAATGCAAGCACGTTAAAGGTAAGCAGAAATTTAAGTTAGCGAATTATACACGAAGTTTATGTGCGAAACATGGCTTATCATTACCAAATGACTAGGTTAATTGGTGAAACGTGGGATACGCCTTTATTCTGCAGTGGGCGTGGTCAGGATAGATAGATAGATAGTAGATAGATAGATAGATAGATAGATAGATAGATAGATAGATAGATAGATAGATAGATAGATAGATAGATAGATAGATAGATAGATAGATAGATAGATAGATAGATAGATAGATAGATAGATAGATATAGATAGATAGATAGATAGATCCTGACTAGCAGTAGTCTCTTGTCCCGAAGGGGAGTCTGGAAGTGGTGGGGTTAACGTCTATGTACTTAACGTTTAACGAAACGCAGTCGAGTTTCACCTAATCAGTGCATCAACTATATAGAATTTGAAAACATTTAGCCGATAGACACGTTTTCATAGGAAAACAACAAAGTAAAAGCTTTTATTTTCAAGTTAGGTTTGTTGTGGTAACGCTGACGTTTTCCACAGTGCGTGAAATTCGAAAAAATCCATACTACCACCACGTATTTTTCTTAGTCACTTGGATTACTATTGGCTGGAAACGGAAGCTTCCAAGCGTAACATTACTTCTAGGTAGGGGATTTCAGTGAACGGCACTGGTAAAAATTATCGATTCAGAGGCCTCTTTAAAAAGCTGGCACACCTATGTACAAGATGAGACCTCTTTTTTTCTTTCAGTGTCTGCAGTTTTCTATCAACCTTAAGAAAATCTTCTTGTGCATTTCGCATTAAGAAATCCAAATGAATTCACTGCGATCCCACACTCTTCAATATAGGCTAATAAATAAACTTGTCTTACTCTGAGAAAACAACAAAACATTTTGGTCGCATAGTATATTCAGAAGATGTATTTGTAACGTAGCAAGACTTTCAATAAAGTGCATAACAGAGGAGGCATCATTATAATTTAAAATAAATCTTCCTGTCCTGAATGTACGAAGGTAATACTTCACCTCATTTTCACCAGCAGAAGCGTGCAATCTTCTTGAATAATTGCGCAGAACTCGCGAACTTTCTCCAGAGAAAATAAATCCAGCCGGCTCAAAATCCAACTGGTTGTTATAACAAATAAAAACAAAGAACTGAGTCACAAAAACAATAATCCCCCGACTCTTTGCAAGCGAAAAAAGCATAATTCCCTCTAGAAATGATAATGATTTGAGCAGTAAATAAAACTATAAAAAACAATATATTGGGAAAAAACGAGAATGAAAGGATCATGTTGCTCCCAGCTTGATCAGACTTCTTTCATCAGTCGATTTCACCTGCTCTTCCTAAGACTAGCTCGTTATAGTGTTCGTGGGATCAAGTAAGCTAGCTTCAATATCGAAATTCTTCAATTTCGCTGTCTCAGTTAGCCTACTAGATAGCCTAAGACGTCGCTACATCAGCAAATCTTCTGAACTCTTTCATGCGCATGGCGTAGAATTATCGATACCGATGCCCGATAAAGGCAGCAGCATGGCCGTCTTGCCTTATTGCGCCTGTTACTTTGAGCTTCTTACGCTATAGGACACCCATGTATGACGAAACATGTGTGTTATTTGGAAGGCTGATGAAAGAATAACATGGAGATTCCTTTTTTTCATATCTTGGCTGTTCCCAATCTTCAGGCACTATGATACAGAATTGAAAAGAAGAATGAGAGCGCACACATGTGCCCAATAATGTAGTCTCTGCGGCTGCCTTAGCATTGTTTCATTAACTTTTCCTTGTTTTTCTTCGCTATCTATACGTTTGTGAATCGTGGTATGTGATAGAAACAACAGTGGCAGGCGAAACGTGCCGCTGATGAAATATGCTACTGCCGCTCTTTGTCAAAGCAAGATGACACGGCACATGCCTAAAAAAAGTTTATTGCAAACTCACAAATAAACTGGTGATGATCGCGGTCAACCACAGCCGCTACAGTACCTCCTCTTATGGGACTTAGAGCAGGACTCCCGCCGCTAACACTTGTACCTCCTCTGCAACGCCGTATTTTAGAATTTTGTTCAGGTTCCTAGATGACGTTAGCATGATAGATAAACTGTAACGTAACTCACATCATCACCATCATGTAGCGACAAGCAGATATCGCAATCATATATTTTGTTTTTTTTCTCCTTTGCTGCCCTCCTCCTCCTCCTGGGACCTTTTTGTCCTGAATCTCCTTTCCCATTTCAGAGTATCATGTAGATGTTTTGGATACGCTGGCAGCAGTCTCTATTGTTCATTAAAAGCTTTCTCTGTCTTTCTAGGTTTGCAGACGATTCTCTGATCCTGAATGGAAATTCTACAAGAACAATATCATTATTTCTGTCAGTATTAGTCTGCGTAGAAAATAACTCTGCTATTGCGAAACCACTTTTTTGTGTACACATTTTGCTTAACAAACAGCGCAATGATAAGAGATTCGACTGCACTTTCCTAGTTCAGTACTGCACGATAAATGATGCTGTACAGCTGTCCTTGCCAAGCTTTTCAAGGAATACAAAGTTGCTTTGTGGACCATGAGGTGTGTATTTGGTCGCGTATGCTACAGCAACCATGCACGGCTCGTTATAACAAATGTGGTATTGTGAATCAATTTTAATATGGTTTGTCATGGACTCAAATAAGTACTCTTGAGCGCTCTCTTTATTTCTTCGTATTTTACGCGATGTATTCTAACAATGTAGCTGGCAATCAGTGCTTAGGCGTGCATGGAAAAGTAAATAATGTCATGGGCTGAGTGGATACCTGAGAATGACAACGACGAAGTGCTGAGGGGAACGTGAACGGACTACAGCAGTGTTGTATGCTTTTTCTCGCCATCGCGCATACTTTATTCCCCGTAACAGCATTGGTGGAGGTGCTGGGTACAACTCGCCGATACAGCCCCAGGAGCTAGATCTTCGCAGCGGATGGCGCATTGCAGCTACCACAATGACTGACCAGGCTTCTCAATGTCAACAAGATCTGTCAGCCCCACAGCCGATCGCTCTGATGCAACTTCGTGACCCAGGCCCATTAAACGGCACAAGTGGCATAGACGTCGATGACTTGCCTGGTTCTGTATGAGCGCGTCAGCAGCAGCAACTATTCAGATCCAACGATTATGTTGTCGGAACATCATATTCTTCTTGTACGGTACAGCAAAACTATGGTACGAGCCGCATCAAGAAGAGTTAACTAGCTGAGACGTCTGTAAGCAGAAATTAAGCTATTTATTTGGGAAACCCATCAGACGACAAGTGGCCGCAATTGAAAGAGCTTGTGACTCGTGCACAGATATCCACAGAGCCGTACATTGCGTATATCCAGGACATGTGGGCTTTTTGCCGCAAGGTTCGACAAGGACATGCTTGAGGAGAACAATGTCGGACACATGCTGAAAGGAATCGCCGATGACGTCTTCAGTTTCCTGCTGTGCAAGGACTGCTCGACGATGGAGTTGGTCATCGAAGCATGTCGTCGCTTCGAACAGGCGAAAAGTAGGCTCATCATTCCCCGATTTCGGCCGCCTTCCCAATACGGTGACTACATCCTCCTGTGCAGATTTGCCACACTACATCAACCACCAGTGCCTGGAAAACCTCACGAGAATAGGCCGTCGTGAAACTCGAGGCTATGGCGCCCGCTATGTCTAGTGCTCCAGGACACAACCTCACTGCTGTTTCAATGATACAGGCCGTGGTTCGCCAAAAGATGGCGAATATGGGCATTTCGCTACCTCATCAAAATGCCCTGCTATACAGCTCGGTTCCTCCAGTCGTTGCAGCTGCTACTCCGAACCGCACCTTCGCGCCACGATGACACCCAGCCAAATGGCGCACTCACGATGATCGGCCATATGTTTCACGTGCCATTGGATAGGACACATCGCTCGCCATTGCTGCAGCCGTTGGACCTCATCACCTTGACGAAGCTTCTATGATTGGTCGAGGTGATGACGAAGTGCTGATGGGAACGTGCACGGACTGCAGCAGCGCTGTACGCATTTTCTTGCCAATATATTCATCGCGTATACATTATTCCCCGTAACAATATTATCCTCTTAATGTTATTTAAGTCTAAATTACAATTAAATCTAATGATTGGTCTTGGTGTTTCAAATTAAAATAAGCTAGGGGTGTATCAGAGCGGGATAGGAGATATATTAGTGATATCTGAAACACTGAATAAAATGCAGGTGGCGCATGTCTTAATGGAAAATTATTATTGAAATTTAAGAGACAAATCGGCCAACGGAATTAAAAGAGATGGTAGTTGAAGTAATTGTAATCTAAATGTGAAGAAACAAAAGTGAACGAAGAGGTTATTTGCTGTGTGCAAGGGCCGGACCTGTGAACCTTTGTATAACGCGTCCTATGGTCTACCGACTGAGCTACCAAAGCGGCTGTACAACCGTGCACTTTATAGAGTATAGATGTGCATTAAACACAGGAGCGTCAGTCAGTGCCACCAGTAGTCATGACGGCGAGTGTAAAACCGCCATTATCCGCCTGTTTGGCATCACGTAGCTGGTGTACTTATTATATGCTGGCAGCTGAAAAATAATCTCCGTATACTACATGAAGGCAGCAAATCTGTTAGAACGACATCCTCGCTATCAATCAAGGAAATCAGTGTATACATTTAGAACTCGTTTTTCCTTCTTAGACACATTAACAATTCGATTGACATTTGTTACCAGCTCGATACGCCTTAGTCGCAATGTAGAAATTTACTTATATAGCACAGTGTTTAACCTACTTGCGGCTTCACGCGGCCTCAAGTGGCACCAATCGGTCGTCCGAACATTTATACTACTTCATGCATAACACGTTTGGAGCTCATACTGGGCATTTCATTTTTCTGTTTTCTAATTTTACTGCTGCCTTGAACATGTCATCACGTCAGCTGTAGCCCAACCTATCGCGAGGAAAGGACAGCACGCACCTTTTCTGTCAGCTGTAGTAGTGCAGCAGGATTTCCCCGCTGGGACCTGGTGTTACGCGGAATGAGGGAGCCCGCATGCCCGGATAGGTGGAGGCCAGGTGGTCGTGCAGATTGTCCAAGTTTGTCAAGAAGTCGGCCATGTTAGAGCCTAAGACACGCAGAATATGGTCGTAGCCATGCTGCTGACAGAAGTACAGGAAGTGCTCCCCGAACGCTTCTAGGCACGTGTCCAGATCCAGGCCTGCATTGGCGACATCAACGTTGTGCAGAAGGTTTTCTTATAACCTTCATAGAAGAACTGCATAAATTCATTAAGATGTGACTGTAGCAACCTGTATTGGAGACATCATCTCGTTCCACACTCTGGCAAAAAATAAACACGCGTTGGTTGACATTTTCTGCTTACAATGAGATCGCGTAGAGTGGCGGCAAGGATCACCTCACGGCAATAAATTATTCGACACAGCCATCCCATCATACGATGCTCGCGTGCCTAGTATAGATAATTTTACGTAGCGTCGACTGTCGACACCTTGGGCTGTGAATAATGAATGTGTTAAACAGCTCGTTTCGCAGAACTACCTGCGTCGGCGTCCACGTCATGGACTGTGGGCGAAAAGTCATCACGTCTTGTGCTGAGACCGAAAAATATAGAAACATGTCACAAGCGAATTGAAGATGGAGATAGTCGCAAAAGTGCGAAATGCTCCGACAAATGCGCACCTGCCGAAAAATGACACGTAGCAGTTTCACTTACCAAGCACCTCGCAGGCGGCGGCCACCAGTTTGAGCGTCATGTCGTCTGTGTAGACTTTGTGCATCAAAAAAGAGGCACCATGCATTGTGATCCCCGACTTCTCTCTGCGAATAAGAGATGATGAAATGTATTGTAAGAGCGAACAGATACGCAAAAACAAAATACAGACGTAAATCTTGTGGCCCCGAGGTCACAAACGTGGTTTACAAATAATGTCGCCTTATGTAAAAATACTGTGCAGGATTCTCTTCCACGTAATATACATGTACTGTACATGTAGTCTAGACGTCTTAATATGCACCAATGGCTGATACAGTTGCCACATCTTCATGAGGAAACAGATTTGCTAGGAGACTTTGACAGGGCAGAAAACTGAGCGATTGTGTTACTAAGAGCTTTGGTTTATGTTGCAATAGCAGTCGTAGTAGCTTAGGGGCTGTCACACTCCATTGGCATGGGCTTCATTCTCAACTATGCGACTGTGTTTGTGTGAAGTCAAGCGCAGGAACACGCGCATACTACGTTTTAGAGTGTACTTAGGATTGTCAACCTTGTCAAGAGTAACTCCAAGTCCTTCTTGATATTGAACCGCGCAGTCACTTCATGGTTTTGGGGATTGACAACTCCCGAATTTAGCTTGACAAATATGTATTAGCTATTTATTTTATTCAGCATATTTAGTGGATGTTAATATCAATGTAGTGCACTGATTACTGCTCTTCTCTTGTATAATAGTTGAAATCGTGTAGACGCAGACAATTAGAAAAAAAACTCAAATATTCATATAATAAAACACTCTGCACTTAGCCTCAGTACTTCAATACAAACGCTTGAGTCAACTCATCGTGTGTGTCAATAGACGTTCTAGCAACTCTATATTCCCATTTATTGAAGGATATGGGAGCAGACTACGTCTCCACAAAAAAAAAAACAGACAGATTTTTAAAACAGAAACTCTTTATATTTGGAGGTCTTCACAGTGTAGTTTTTCCGTGCAGTGCTTCGAGCGCAGTGAAAGGGCTACTTTCGAAGAGGATTGCTTTGCTTGTTGAGGTTCAAACCTATATAATCGAGCTTTGCTGCACAAATCGATAATATTTTATTACTTATAAGAGTTCACCTAACATGTGCTGCGAACAGTCGCATGGATTCAAAATCTAGCGCAGGAGCTCTTACACTGGAACACTGGGACCTACGGAATCCTGTTTATGAAAGGAAGTCTTCAAACCGAAAACAGGTCTCTTCTCAACTACAGTTCTTCATGCTTACCACAAGTACGATAAAAACCCTTGGGCTACATGTGACTCCAGCGTAACAAACAAAAACACGTATTCTTCATGCGTTAAAATGGCGGGAAACAGTGATTGATTCAGATGAAGCTACGAAGAGATAACCATGCACCTTTTCTTCGACTTTACCGGTTACACGGTACAAGGAAGATGCTCTGGACTGTGCGTCACAAACCGTACCATCTCCCTTTGGCCGAAGTGAGAGAGAGGTATGGGTGCGCAGTCTATATTTTGGTTCGAGGATTTGAACCCCACAGTTTGCGATCCTCGGTCTTTTATCTTTATTCGTTTTTCGAAGAAAAGTACGTTTATTGTCCTATATTCATCTTTTTTTGTTTTTTTGTTCTTGTATTCTGCTGCCTTTGTATCCCATTTTCCTTTTCCGAAACACAGTAGCACGTCAGCAATTTATGTATGCTAGGTCAATTATCTTCTCATTCATAATGGTTTTTCTTGTTCTCTCTTTTTCTCTCTTTGTCAATGTTACTTGTATTTTTCTCTTGCATGGCCCGCGGTTGTAAAAATACTCCCAATCAATAAACTGCTAACGCAAATGTGCCAAGCACGTAATTTTTTCCCCGCTGTGAAAGCGAAGTGTTTTTTTCCACCGGGACTTAGACCTGCTATTGACTCCCTGCTTCTTATTGTATTCATTTCATTTTTATGTCTACTTTACCATATCCATCTTCTACACGCAAGTGTAGTATCTACGCTCCCTACCAATTTGCAGCTCGGTAAAAGACTGCTTATCAGCCACTGATCAGCTTTTAAACGCTGCCTCTCAGCCATGAGAACAAAAAATTTGTTGATGGCGGTTTACTAAAAGCATATACTGGAAAATTAAAATACTTGGCTGACCTTGACAATGAAAGCATTGTTCACTTACTGAAACATATTGTTTTGCAAATAGGAGCACTTGCGTAAAGGATGATATTAAATGCGTAAATGCGGATGATATTAAATGCACTTGCGTAAAGGATGAATGTAAATATGATATTATTATCTGGGATTTTATGTGCCTGATTCAATACTAGCTTTTTAGGCACTCCATAGTCGAGCGCTCCAGAAACTTCGATTATCTAGTGCTCTTTAACTTGCACTGATATTGGACAGCAGATGCGTCTCTCGCATTTCGCCACAATCCAAATGCCACCGTTGTGTCAAACTGGTATTTTTCGCGTCATCATTCGGGAACCACAACCATTGTACCACAGTGGCTGACCATAATAACAATTTATTAATCAAGAAGCATAAGAAAGACACTTTCGCTTCTGCATTTCCCCTCTACAAGCTCACAAGCAAACTTTCTTAACTCCTTGAAATTTTCAAACACTGGCAGCATATATCTGTCTCTTCTTAGGTAATCACCACCTTTATAATTCAATAAAACGTCACCGAAGTTTTTGTTTGCTTTCCTGACGATTAGCACAGGAAAGGTATCTGATGCAATAGAACGGAAAAGAATTTTTCTGGTCCAGACATGCGTTTTGCCAATTATATATTACAAAGATTAAGAAAATCGAGCATTACAGGCAAAGCACAACTACTCGTGCAGTTTAACAAATAGTGATGAGCAACACATATTGAACCTTGCTATTTTTCGTTAGTAGTTTGCGCTATCTTTTTGCGTAGTAAAATCTAGGGCTTCTCGAAGCAAGCCTGTGCCATGAAAAATGATATCTATATTCTTTTCGTCCTTCAATTATCATCCCGAAAGTGTTAGCTGAACCCGGAAGTTCATAACCCATAATTAGGGCAGCTTTCAATAGTGTTTGGCGCATTTATTAGACTGTGGGCATTGCAAAAAAAAAAAAGAAAGCCCTTGTCGGGATATAAGAATTTGGCGTGCGAAAGAACTTACAGAAGCAATTTCCACGTGTCCGCTCCAAACTTCTTGGTCACGAGGTCTTCCAAGGCGCAGTGAATAAACCCGTACTGTGAAGGAAGAACAAAAAAAAAACGGTAGGTATTAGTCATATTACACCTTCACTAAAACAGCCACGAAGCCAATATCTGTAACATATATGCCGAATATGGCTCTTTCATCTATCTGTACCAGAAAACAATTCTGTGAATTTGGATCATGCCACACCAACAAGATTAAGTAAATTGCACAGTCCACCTTCTTCTGCTGCTGTTATGTTTGATAAGATGTTATTAGAAAGTTATTACTCAGTACAATTTCTCGGTGAGAGAAATTCAATGAACAGTGACGCTACGGCATGCGTAGCAGTCCATATAGACCCAAAGCCATAGTTTCTTCAAGCTCTGCTTCATACAAAGGAGTGTCAGGCATCGGCGCAGTTTTAACTGCTCCTATAGCGCTTAAAGTTACAGTGACTGTAGTATTAGCATATATATTAGATATTGCATGTGAATCACGCCAAAAATAATACTCTGCGCGCATAATTTGTTTACTTACTACCGAGAAGACAAAAACGAAGCGTTGGAAATTTATTTTTACTTAAATAAATCATGCAAACTTCCCAGTCTGTAGCATCCAGAAAAATGGTAAATGTTTATGCCTAAGCATGGCGATAACTGCAGCTACAGAAGTACGGTATCGGCACCTCCAGAAGCGGCGTTGGCAGCAGATGCATATTAAGGTTGGGGAACGCAATATCCGGAATAGCTTCGAAGCGCAGCTCTTTTACTCACGTCACGTCGCATAACCGTGACTCAGATTTCGCAGCCTTGAGTGCTGCCGTATTCTTATTTTTTATTTTTATGTATGGGCGTCTCTAAAGTATTTCTGAATCGACGGGGTTGATGCTAGCGATCCGAGAAATTCTAGCTTGGTCAACTTTGGTGTATATGGGTAAGAAATGACCCCACACGTCGAGTGCTGCCATCCGTTATGGATTTCATAAAAAGAAAAAAAAAGTGAGCTACACGAAAAAAGGAGCCTCAAAAAGCAAGCTTTGTAGAGGTACACAAACCACCACACGTTTTGACGCTATGTACGGAGCCGTGGCGTCATTCTTCTTTAACTTATTGCTTCGTACGCTCGGCGGTCGGGGTCCTATCCTGTCCGCGTTGTCATGACCCGTTCGCCGATGGCGGCACTGATGGATGAAGACGAATGCTTTCTAGATTGGCCATACTTTACACCATCAATGCAACTTGGGGCCTGCCTTAAGCGATTTGACCGCGCCACAACGAATGGCTTCATCACCACAAACAGGTTTTGTGCCTCCACAAAGTCTCTGGTTTTCGCTGCGGACTGTTGCGTAAACTTTTCAGGTCAAATGATGACACTCAGTTCACTGTAAACACTCTTTTTATGCACTCGAAGCTGCTGAAAGTTGTCCTATTATCACGTTTACTTTTGGTCGAAAATGCAAAGTGCTCAGTCAGTGTCACTTGTCTTACTACTGATGGTTATACAATGATCACTTTTCGATGACTTGGTGAAGTTGGCATATGCTGAACAAAATTCATTTCAAAACTAGAATATCAAAACACGATATTTCCCTACCACACAGTTTGCTAGAATACATTAAAACTTGGAGCATTATTTAATTTAGTTCACTCAACGCCTAAAACTCAAAATTAGTGATGCAAACACTGAGTCACCCAAGGCTAAGTGACAGCATAAATGGTGGGCACCTAGGTCATCCTGGCATTTAGGTGCTTGCTATTCACCTCTTATCTTTCCCATACCTTTCTTACTATATCCGACTACGAACGATCTTTTTCTTCCTTTTTTTCTTTATATTTCTCCGCTTTGCCTTCAATTTTTTTTATCTCGCTTTACCGTCCTTCTTTCTGTCCTCCTGTTCCTTGCTCCGTTTCCCGTCCCCTTGCTATACTATACCTGGCAAGGCTATGCTCACATTGTCGTTTTATCTCTTTCTTTCTTCCTTTCTCTCTCTAGCAATGTACTTGTACTCTCGCCGATCAAAGCTATTGAAATCCTTTCCGGGAAAATTGTTGCACAGTTCTGGGAGCGAATATGAAAAAGGGAGTGCATGCCGGTTTACAATGCTGATAGTGTTCTATTTGCAAAACACCGTGAACGTCAGGCATAGCGTATATGCTGAAAATCTCATCTTAAATATCTATTACGAAGTGCTTGTTTATTTCGTTACGGGCACACCACTCATTCTTCAATAGGAGAGACAAGCTGAGGATAAACTTACAGCTTTATCAGCAAGAAAGTTCTATATTGAGGCTATTCCAACAAGTGCTGCTGTACCGTTTCACTATACTTCCTCCAATCTCGTTATTAATAATATTGTCACGACGTCAAAACAGAGGTCTTGTCGCAGAAATTGAGGCAGCAGAAGCAGGTCGGTCTTTTTTTAATAGAACGCACAAGCGAGTTCTTCTTTTTTCATCCATTTCATAGTCCTTCATGGCACATGCACGACTGCCATCGTCTTTCGTGATCAAGCACGTGACATGTGCCTCCCTCCGAAAGAGGCATCGTTCCGATGCGCAACTTAGGTACTCTACCAGGCGTATGTAGTGGTCGCGCCGACAGGGTAACTGGGAGCTAATTAACTAGATAAATACGGTTTCATACGCACGACGTGCACGACTTCGGCTAAATGCTTTTGGCGCTTATAACTACAGTGTCAGTGCCGGGAACAACATCGTAGTTCACGTCGTTCAAGCGTCGCGTGACGCCGTATGGGCCAAAGTATCGTCTTTATGGTTTTCCAGACAGTCCACGTCGACGTATCGGAATCCAGACCCAGACCTTCTCGCCTGATGTGTAGCTAATAAACTTGTGTCGTGGGTCGTACCGTTGTGCGTCTTGATGCTGTTGATGACAGATGCGCACAAGCGCGAGCTGTCTGGCTTCCTCGGCGCGCTCAGTGAATTCTTTGGCGTCTACATGGATGTCGTCACACTCATGCGGCAGCATGGCGTTCATCGTTGTCGTGACTTCGCGGCCATATATAGATCAGACTAAACGGTGTCATTCCAGCGGTGTCTTGTCGAGCGGTATTATAGGCAAAGATCACGTACGGCAATATCTGATCCCAGTTTTTATGTTCCGTGTCAATGTACACGCTGTTCATGTCTGTGAGGGTCCTATTGAGGCGCTTCATCAGTCTGTTTTTCTGCGGATGGTGTGCAGTTGTTTTCTGGTGAGCTGTACCGCTGAGTCTGAGAAGCAACTCCAAAAGCTCTGCGGTGAAGGCAGCTCCTCTGTCTGTGATCACTGCTGTCGGAGCGCCATGCCGAAGGACGATGTTTTCGTTGAAGAACTGAGCGGCTTCTGCTGCTGTGCCGCGCTGCATAGCTTTAGTCTCCGCATAACAGGAGAGGTAATCGGTGGCCACAATTATCCATCTGTTCCCTGTTGTGGAAGTTGGAAAGGAGCCCAGGAAATCCATTCCAATTTGGGTGAACGGCTTTTCTGGTGCTTCGACTGGATGTAAAAGACCGGCTGGCTTGCTGAGCGGCGCTTTGCGGCTTTGGCTGTCGGTGCAAGTCCGCACGTGATGATTAACAGCAGCAGGTAACTATGGCCAGTAGTACTTTCATCGTAGTCGGCACAATGTTCGGGTGTAGCCTAGATGACCAGAAGTTGCTTCATCATGGCACGCTTCCATAATTTCTTTTCGAAAAGAGGCAGGCATGGCGAGCAAGTGCGGTTTGCTGGTTGGTGAGAAGTTTTTCTTATAGATAACATCGTTTCGCAAGCAAAAAGATGGCAGTCCTCTGGCAAATAACCACGGCACGTCTTTACGTCGTCCTTCTAAATATTCAATGAGTGGTAACAGCTCCGGGTCACTGCGCTGCTCTCGTGCATTAGTGGCCGTGTTGACAACTATCAGGAATACCGCGTCAGTGTTTGCGTCATCACGAGCGACAGTCTCCACTGGCGACCGTGAGAGACAGTCGGCGTTGGTGTGCCGTTTCCCAGATTTATAGATGATGGTCATGTCGAACTCTTGAAGCCTTAGGCTCCAGCGGGCCAAACGGCCAGATGGATCTTTAAGGTTGGTGAGCCAGCACAAAGAGTGATGGTCGCTAACAACCTTGAAGGAGCGGCCGTACGAATATGGTACGAGAACCGCGAGCCTACATTCCAATCTTGGGAAGATTTCCGTCGAAAGCTCCTCGCTACATTTTTGAACTCGGACCGACGGGATTGCGCTCAGCAGCTAATTGAGGCCGGCGTGCAAAAACCGAATGAAACAGCCGCCATGTACGCAGAGGGTATGATCCGTCTGTTTCGACGAGCTGGCCCTGATCTGCCCGAGGTTAAGAAGGTGCGTCACCTAATGCAGGGTGTTAAGGAACCAGTGTTTACGGGCCTCACACGACATCCACCTACAACAGTAGATGAATTCATAAGAGAAGCGACTGTCATCGAGTGCGCACTGCAACAACTACGCCGACATTTTGACCGCCTGTCGAGCCACACGGCTGTAAGTGCTGCAGCTCAAAACACTTCCGTATGTGAAAGCTCCCTGCGACAAACTATTAGGCAAATACTGCGTGAGGAACTGCGGGCCCTCTGCGTTCCCCCTACCCAGCACCTTCACCAGTGTCACGACGTCAAAACAGAGGTCTTGCCGCAGAAATTGAGACAGCAGAAGCAGGTTGGTATTTTTATTAGAACGCGCAAGCGAGTTCTTCTTTTTTCATCCATTTCATAGTCCTTCATGGCACATGCACAACTGCCATCGTCTTTCTTGATCAAGCACGTGACAATACGATGCAAATGCAAGTGGTCGTTAGCCTTTATTTCATAGTAATACCTTGTTCTCGTGAAATGTTTTCAACACACTAATCTTTGTATAAGAGTACATAATTAACAACGATTATTGTTTACGATACACGGCAGCGCATACGGTGTTAAGACGAAAACAAGAAATGCAAAAAAAAAGACGACGCTAGCGTGGACAATAAGTCGCCCTAGCGCAGGAGCACAATTAAATAAATAATTGTTCGATCCCTGCAAGAAAAATTCA